GAAGCCTTTCGAATCTGAAGGCGGCGGGGGAAAATAGGAGTGATACTGGGCCAACCCACATTATACAATGTCAGTCCTTTCTTTATAAAGCTATTAATAACGACATGCTGTAGCTTATCGCGAGGCCCTGAATATCCCGATTTAGTAGGTCACAAAGCAATGGACAAGCTGGCTTCTTCTCAGGATCGAGATATGAATCACAATCGTCTCCGTCTGCTGTGAACTTTATGACACTCCTGCTCACGTGAGTTCGAAGAAACACCCTCTAAATTTCCGCAAACATGTTGGTGATTGGTTACAAGTACGTCCGATCTCTTGTTTTGTCAGTTACTGGCGCGAACACTTCCCTTCATCGGAAAGCAAAGAGGGGGAGGGGTGGGGAGAGAAATGGCACGAGCGCAAAACACAGGTGAAAGTTGCCCTACTAGAAACAAGTTAACAGGCAAGTCATGGCCGCCTTCTTGTAGTGGGAAAGAGAGCCAGAATGTTGTTGCTTGGACTCAGGACTGCTGCGCTGACTCATACTCACTTCGTTCACCAGGCCGCTAGGTACCTGCGCGTCTTCGTCAACCGCTGAATTACGTCCGCGATGCCCTGTGCGCCCTGCGCTCCCCCAGTGACTCGCCTTCTGAGACCCACTTCAGTTCGAACCAATCGATGCGCGCCATTCCACCCGATTGGCTACACAGATCACTAAGGTCACTTTGCAATCACGGATTTGCAGTAGAAGACAAACACGCTCACTCAACTGACCGGAGGACGCAGCGGTTATGATAGCTTGGCAGAGCCTGTTGTCGAGCTTTTTTCGCGTAGTTAAAACTGCTCTTACTAATTCACGTCGTCTCTGGCTTTTGCTTTGGTGAACCTTCTGTTGTCGACACAAAAACCTTCGACAAAACTAACAACGATTTTTATTTGAAAAGTGATTTAACAATCATGTTAAGTTAAACATGTGAAGATAATTTTTAAACAGAGGATTATTGAGATGGTAGGATGTCGATACAGTCGCGCTGTAACCACTTAAACTGTTGGGGGTTCGCCAACCGGTCAGATTTTTTGGGAATAGGGAGAAGAGTAGAATTCCTGAGAAGACAGTAAGAGGGAAAGTAGTTGCTCCAGTCAAGGAACAGCCGGCAACAGACACTGACAATCACCGTTAACACCATAATGCTGACAAACAGGGATCGCGTAAGGAGTACTTTTGGCGGACACCCCTTCACCGGCTCTCTTCCCTCTTCCTCTTCTTCTTCCTCGTCATCTTCTTTCTCTTCATTATACAGCTTTTCTGCAATAAATGTGGTTAAAAGAACAAGGATATAATTGAAACTAGGTTGCAGGGGCATGCAATTTGTTTTCTTAATTTTTAATTTCCTTTGTGTAATTAGTTGAGGTTGAAAATTAAGCTGGAATAGAAACGCACGTTCTGCAGGAGAAAATTTGATCCCAGAATACCTAAGCTGCTGAGATTTGATAAAAAAATCCACAGTGTATTATGCCGTAAAAGGAATGATAAAACTGCAGCATGCCCCGGGTCCACATTAGTTCCATGTGGATAGGCCTTTTTCATATCCGTGGAAACGATATGTCAATTTTTTAAGTAATATACCATAAATGCACCCCTCATTTGAATGGTTAATACCTTAGCATAATAGGATACACTTTTACCCCCAGATTTCAGCCAATATACCGAAGAAATTTAACTTTAAATGGGTCAGCTGAATTAAGGGTTGGACAAAAAATATGAACCAACACATCGCAACATCCCAAACAACGTCCTTCACGCGCTGGCGCCCGCATTCAGAAGACGAGGGAAAACCCAGATGCTTAATTACACACACCCACCCACAAACAATCCTCCTTCCCCCGCAACCTGACGGTCATATAAACGCTGCAATTAACTGACCATTTTTATTCCCCATGTCATGTACCGACCTGATAATGAATGACCGAAAACAAGTTATTGTCAAAAAAGTTCAAGAAGGGTCCTCTTAGGCTAGAACAGCACACTAATGGTAAATGAAATCTGCTCAGTCAATGCTTTACAATTCAAACTCACCACCGCGAAAATCGTATCCTGGCGGTGAATCGGCGTTTTCTATTTTAGCTTCATTAGTATCGCCAACAAAATTAATGACGGTCCGTTTAGCTGCCTGGAAAAAGAGAAAACAAATGTAGTTACTCTAAAAGGATTGGAAAACTGAACAGCTTGAATCAGAGCATCAGTGACGTTAACTGCCGAGTTCTCATCACACAAGGCATCGAGAATGGTGTGGACATCTCGACAATTAACGACTCGGGCTCGAAATAGCGAGCAACTACACCTTCATGTAGGACCACCAGCGATAAATAGTGCACCCCTAGCGCCAGCTTCACCCTTATCTGTGACCGTCTTGGATGATGTCTTCGAGCGAGAATCCGAAACTCCAGGCCAATAAACGTCGTGTTACAGCAATCGCATTTTCTCCTGAACCGCTTCCTAAATGTTGCTTGTTCTCTTCGATTAGCAAGCGGTCAAAATGCGCGTCAGCAATGGAATTTAATATTCTATTTACATAAACCAAATAATGTGACTTATTCCGCTTTGCGTTTTCTAATTTTAGCACAAAATCTTCGTTTGTTTTTCAATGTTCAGTGACCGGACAGCATCCATCTGAGGACACAAAGAAACCTTCTGCAAACAGTATTTCTGTTCAGAAAAGAGAGGAAGATTGCGATCGGTGGAACAAGACGTTTATTAACCTTACGTTTCAGACTCTCGCTTGAACCAATCGTTATAGACAATCGCTGAAAAGGATAGTAGAAACATAAGAACCGAAGTATTTAAAGGACGCGGTTTCCAACCAACCACATGCCTACTATTATCAGCAGCACTCGTGTTCACCATGGAGTCCGGCTCACGATCAATTGACAAATATAATTTATCTCGTCTTAATATATTTACTACGACTTTGCCTGGGCAAAATAACTAGCTACTCGGGCAGGGCACGCGGTACCATCCATACTGATGTCAACGAGTAAAACTTTCCGATCAATCGTCACGCCAGGAATCAAAAGGGATGAAACAATCACGACCATTGGCGCCTTTGGTACGGACCGACAAGCAATAATCTTATCAATTACGTTTCCCAGCGACGTTGATTACTGTACGAATGTGGTAGCTTGGCCGCTGTTATTAGACTTTTTGAGGACTGACGCTCATGATGATGGCGCGGTGAGAATCCAAAAGATTGGGTCAATAAATGACTTTTTCCAGCAATTGAACCTTTTTCTTTTTAACTGCTACCTATGTTTGTATCAATAGGTATTACTGTTTCTCATTACGTATGCATCAATTGTACTATGATTTTCTAACACAAACAGTCTATCAACTTTGTGGGGAAATTCTAAAAAAAATACACTTACTCTCTCACATTCTCTGGTCCAATCAATGCGCACATTAATGATGGTGTATGAGACAGCCTGAGCCAAGGCACCGATTGAAAGGCCCCACCAAAATCCTGTTAATAAATTAAGTCACAACACCAAAGGAATAATATAGGGGCTACCACATGCCATGCAAATAGATCATGGCACGTAGCATGTAAGATATATATTTAAGCTACATAAGTGTTCATCTTTTCATGGAAATATAACAAAAATAAATCCGACTTATAAGGCAGCCTAGTATTAGATCCTGGGATGCCGAGCAACGTGAGTCTCAGAATCAGAAGAAATTTTAAAAGTGATTTCCTGTGCTGCAGGTACGTATGGGTGCATGATTTTTTAAGGTATACGCGGTCTAACTGACTTCACACCGATAAATCTGTTGCGTTGAAAAGAATTTGTCAACATTTAACTACTGAATAATGAACAACGTACCGCTGACTCTTAGATTCGTCAGGAACATAAGACTTAGCCCAGCAGGTCCACCGATGAGATACATGCAGACACAGCACACAACAGCGCCAATCTTCTGCTTACCAACGCCACGAACAATTCCCATGTTGATGCCCTGAAGAATATACCCCAAATAGGTAAGACTCCAAATTACTCTTTTTCATTCAAGTTTATTGTAAAAAGTGCCTTCAAAATGCAATTTATTTTCATTATAGAAAACCCGCTCGTTATGGGTAGTTTTCAGTCATTTATTCATCCGTCAGTCATCATCTTTCCTGCCCATTATCGTAGTATATCACAAAAGTGGTATTTAATCTCGTTTAACTGTTAGAGGTTGGTAAACTTTGAGTGAAAGAACCAACATGCTATTTTCATCAGACAGATATGAGCGTTTTCTCATTAAACCACAGCGGTAAGCTGTAGAAAAGAGTCGACAATTAATTGTTAGGTTCTGCAAATATCACTGTATTAAGCTCGAATGTACAACCGACAAATATGAGTTTTCGGTACCTCCTCAGCAGACTATCAAAAGGGTATATACGTGTCTGGCGAGGATGAAGAAAGATAGATGGGAGAGTTCGTCACACTTGTCATTCCCACGACGTCAGCATGTCTGAATTGGAGTGTTATGGTCTGAGAGAGGAGTGATTAGGTTCAGTGCGTGCGGGATATCTCTACGTCTAAAACGCGGAGTCTATATGACTGTACTAAAGGGTCTGGGGTGGTCTGCGGAACTCAAGTCGGGTCGTCCATTTCATAAGGACAGTCTGTACCACGCTCTTCTGACAACAAAGCACTAGATTGGAAAACCGAACGCTCCCCGCGTCGGTCGTGGCTAACGTCCGTTGGGTAAGGCCTTTAAAGGTGTATGTTGGTGTCTGGTGAGCAACTCAAAAGGCTTCTTTGGCATCGACTTGGTGTTTTATATTGACTGGATTTGCAAAAATAAAACTAATATTTTACCTGTTTTCACCCCTACCTAACCAGCCGTGCGCATGCCTCTAGCTTAAAACAGCTATACTGAATAAAAATTATGTTTAGGATACCTTTTAAGGATTTTCTGACACTTTTTACGAGATAAACAGCAGAAAATATTATCATACCTTAACCTTCTTAAAGGGATTTTCCCAAACATATATACAGAAAGACTGCTCAATTCAGACGTCATTACGCATAATAGCCAGTGGTTATCAGAATAACACTTCAACAAATTCTTGGAGACGGCAATATGTATGCTTCCGTATCACAAATCGCGTTGCTCGGGAGTACACACTACAGTCTCCTGAGTCTAAACCTAACTGTAAATGTAGACTCGAGATGTAACTCTAATAATCCAATTGACCGAATTGTGAAATATTCGGCGGCCTCGGTGGGATTCGAACCCACGCCACCAAAAGAAGGCTCCAGTACAGCCCATCCTGTAATCGACTGAATTATCGAAGCCTGGGGCGTTGTGCGGACATCACTTAGCGTTGGCTACTTCATAAACATCGTCTGTGTCACGCTCTTTTGATGAGAAAGTATTAGATTCGCAAACCGACTGCTCACTGTGTCGGCTACGGCTAGCGTCCGTCGGTTTAGGCAAAAAGCTAAACAAATCCCTTAATCGACCTTTGACTCTTACTCTTAACCTTACTCTATGCCTCATTCTAAATCTAACCCTTACCACTGGGTGCCTAGCTCGTGGCCTACAAAAACAGATATTCAGTGAATTATCTTATGATTGCTAAGGGTCTGCACAGAATACCTTTACAAAAATTCACACTCTAAAAAGGTAACACATTAACAACTCACATTAATGGCATCGATAAACTGGAACGTTATCATGGAGGGGAAATAATCTTTAGCCATTTCTATAACTCCGCTAAAACAAAAAGTTAACGGTAAAACGGAACCTGGCAATAACAGAAGAGAATAGCTTTACCTAATTATCAAGATATGTGATATACTTTTCATAAAGAGCACTTTAACGTACGGATCATTGGAGAAAAGTTTTGGAATTTCGCCTCGCAAAGCGGTAAGTAGTATGGTAGCTAACAAACCAGCTGACACTAGAAAAAAAGAAACGGAAAATCCAAGTTGCACTTAAAATTACAATTTACGACAAACAAGTAAAGGATCTTTCTATGTAGCGGATGGCCATGTCCATGTATGGGAACTAAGGTTCCAATCATAATGTGCCCCTTTGTTTAATGGATGCATGTTTCTGAGTTAACTTTGCTCATTAGACTTGTGGGCATAATCACAAATTTGATTGACCTAATTATGAGAAATTCGCGGCCTCGGTGGGATTCGAACCCACTTCAACAAAACTAGGTTTGGTCACAGCTACCGCTCTGCCCCCCCCCCTCAATCATCATTCATGTGACATAAACACATCGGTTAACCGTGTGAATACTGCTGCACTGCCCCCCTCCGGCACCCAGCTCTCATTCCTGACGCCATGAGGCCAAGCTTAACATAGTGATCACACTTCAGAAACCATTCTGGCCTGCAGACAAAACAAGACGATGGGCTCCGAGTTGTGTGTTTTCAGATCTGTGGGTTTTTATTTACTCCTTGCCACTAAAGGCACAACACAGAAGGTAACACGCAATTCCTTATGCACCTGAAGAAAATAACGTCCGCTTTTTTGCGATAATCAGAAAACTTAGAAAAAGATAAGGCAGATTTATTCATGGTTAACAGTGCTCAAACTCTTATTAAACACGACTGGTAATCAATACCATCAGAAAGCTGTATTTAGTATGGAACAAAAACCCCTACAACTGCCAGCAAGCATACTATACGTTTGGACGTTGCCAATATGATGGGTGAAATGTCATATGCCAAAGCATGCATATCTGAAGTTGCTGTGTAACCCGTTCGTTGGTATACCCTGCTATATATGGTGGGGACCGGGTCGTTTATGGCACGTGTAGATAAGCTGTTTAATATTTGCAGTCACAGTGCACGAGTCCACTTCCATTCCTTCTGACATTTATTGTTGTGAGAGTACGGTGGGTTACGGGGCAAACAGGGCGGTAGACGTTGAGCAGGTTCGTTTCAATATTAACCAAATAGTATGCTAGTCATAGTTGCCGCGGGGCAGGCAATTGACATAGTCGTTTGCGACGGTATGTCTATCTATCTTACATCTTATAAAATATCAGTAGGTTGAGTGCCAAAAGCCCTTTTTAAAACCTTCAAAAAGTGTTAGTTGAATTAAGTGGCTGTATCTGCTTATAGTATTGAATACTGCTTATCATAACCGGTCGTTGCGACATAAGTTGCCCTATTATTTCACTTACCAACTACTATGAAGCCAACACAGGCTGCTGAACGAGGCGTCACATTGTCGTTTGCTCCGAGGAACTGACCAATGCGTATAGTTGTTGCTATTGCAAATCCCAATGGAAACTATGTAATACATAAAAGGCACAAATTAATTATAAATAAAGATGGAAGTGCAGTCACTGGTAAAAAACGCTTAACTCGAGCAAAATACGTGTGGAGATGTCTTAGAATAATCACAACCAAGTTAAAGTTACGTTATGGTTTCAGAGGTACTATCTACACGGAGAGATTTTCCGTTTACCTTCAAGCCACGCAAATGGGTTGTTAGACCGCTGAGCCAAAGGGCCTAGAATTAAGCCCCATGATCGCATCCTGTCGACTGCGTTTGACAATATTTGAGGTTCGGTCTAGTTTGCTCACTTATTCATGGGTTAACACCCAGGAATATAAAATGGACATGTTTAGGCTGCTGGATTTGTAGCCGTTTGAGAGAACCGCAAATGGGGTCTAAGGGTTCGGTATATTTTTCTCGTGACGGAATGTTTTTCACTTTAATAACAGCTTTTTTGTTAGTATTTATTTTACTGTAAATGCCGTTTTTGGTAATTTCGGCTTCTACCTCAAAATAAGCTCTGTCTTCCCTTTGGAATCCCTTAATGGGTTTGGAGCATCCTTTCAAGACAAGAACAGCCTTTATTTTGACCTACGTATTTGGTTTATCTATGGTGGTTTATAAAAATCGAGACGTGCTTTTCTGGTTTCCTTAACGAAAGATTCCGTAATTTACTTACCAGGACATAGACGACAGATTCTACATTGTTCAGTATTGTTTGAACCGCGAGATCTTTCTCGCCCAATATACCTAAATGACAATGGAAGTTTGTAAAGAGCTAATTAATAACAATCCGTACGCATACGTACAAAAGGTATTAAGTATGAATTATAGTCACAAAACCGAAAGCGAAAAGGATAAAAGGGTAAAGTAACCTCAGAAATAATGGAAAAGATAAAAACGAAATTAACTGTATCACAGAATATAAAGGAAACAATTTGCTGAAAAAAGGAGAAAAATGCCTCCTAGGAAACCCTTTGTTATTCGAATTTTACATGTACCGCTAGCGAAAAAGACACACTAACGTTGTAAGTGGGGTACTTGTGTTTAACTATAAACGATACAACTTTTCCCGCTAAAAAAGATAATATAAGAATCTTGTTTGACCAGGTTAGTTAAAAGTATGGACTTCTAGCTGACTGTTATTAAGAGGACTTGTCTACCATATAACAGCTTGTGTCCACAGCATAAAAACAATATACCATGCCATCGTAATCATTGCTTCGAGTAATGCAATTTAGCGTGCTTTGCACATTGCTTCTGTTCTGTATATGTTTTTCACGTTGACAAAGGTAAAAATGTCAACGAGGGCCTAATGCGACATGCTCTGACTAAATAATTCATGCTATTTCCAGAATATGGGCTTGGGTGCGGAAATAGAAAAAATCTATAGAAATACAAGCGATGTGGTAGTAAGTTAAAAGGAAGTTGTCTAATACTGTGTCCCAACCCGAATGCGAACAGTAATCCTTATCAAAACCTTAATTCTAACAAAAACTCTGTACATAATCCTTAGCTTAGCGTTGCCCTTAATTCTTAACCTAAACTTCATCTAGCTCTTAATCCTTATCCTCAATTGCCCGGATCTGAACGCAATACAATCTTTATTGAGTGATTACTTCCTATTCTCGTGCAAACACTAACGCTACTTCTAACACCTACTCTGTACACTCCCCTAATGCTCCCTTCAACTCTAGACCTCAGCTTCACATGTTCCTTTACGCCAACCCTAATTCCCCTATAAATGAACGCCAGAAATCCTTATTAAGCATGAATTCCTATCTGCGTTTCTTACCACATATGCAATCGAAATATGGTACTAACAAAAGAGGATATTATCCCGTGTTTCACATAAAGCCCATTTCGATAACAGTTGGCTATATTATCTACTAATTATAAAACAATACCAACATAAAACCACATGGAAGAATGTGAAAATAAGTTCTGTAATTTTTCCTTTTACATTTTTTCCATTTAACTTTCTGATGAGTTATATATGACTTGACTGAAGTAAGAGTAAACAAAATACAAAAGAATAAATGCCCTACTGCACAGTTTCATTTATTCCTATGCAAAATTCGGCATAGACAGTCTTTGTATTTGTATAGCTCATTTTACACTTGCCTGAAACTAAACTCCCAGATTCGCACACCCACCATTCCATTCCAGTCATGACGAGTCCGGCCAGGCCAAGACGTATCCAAATTCCCCAGTCGTGCCACAGTTCGATGCGAACTCCTAAAGTCGTAGAAAGACTTGCGTACACATACAATGGAATCATAAAAAATTCTCAAATCTTTCTTCGGACCAAATTGGGCGAATAGAAAAATGAATAACGTGGTAAGCCTATTAAAATATGAAGAAGAAGAAGAAGAACGTCATTTGCGACTTTATCTAGTCGGCGATCATCCGATCTTTGTTAGTAGAGTTAATGACTACAGTGGACTCTGATCATTTGGATTTTTGGGCAACTTTGTCGGCCTTTTGCGGGCAAAACTTTAATAGAGGGAGAAAGAAGATGTGTTATAGCAATTTCAGCAGCCTGACGGGCGACTACCGCGAGACAAGGCCTTTATTGCTGCCAGACAGTGGAGTATTCTGTTGGATGTTATTTAAATCATACGTTTGCGTAAGTCATTGAAACATCTACTTCACGCTTATCTCCATAAGTGATGAGAGCCTGCTTTTTTGGGGATGGAGAGGGGGGGCAATAACTGCCAGTCATCAAAAACTTGAAGTCAGGAGGCATAATAAATAAGAGACTATTTACTGCGGCTAAGAGTGGGTATACATTTAATTGTAGAAATTTTTTACCTATAACATTGCTACTAATGTCCTCTAAAAAAACATAGATTATCCTGCTGATTGTGACTTTCCGAATCTTAAATTGGGAACGTTCTGTCCGTAGACTGACGTATCTTCATACACATGCAATGCGAACAATGCAAGAGAGGCTGTAATGGGACGAGTGAGAACAAAAGGTTTAGTGTTTTATTACTTATTTGACGAATGACTTCATCATGTTGCCCAGAGTCTTTTCTGCTCTTCGGATATACCGGAACATATGCGTGAGCTATTATGTTTTCGTCAGTTATGGTTATACTAGCCGAAGTCAGTTGTATATAAAGCGTGTGTTGGAAAAATGAACAGACTCTTAAAAATAATCAATAATTCTGAGATGGTCATTAAAAGGATTTAAAAATATGATGATCAAGATGAGAGCCAACTTCCCGTGATTTCAGCTCCATCTCTGCTTTGAGCCCGGATCAAGACAGTCGCAGGCGTCTGGACTGCAACTAACCCTGAGTAAGCAATAATTTAAAAAGACCTCATAGAACCATAATGTGTTTCTCTGGATTGTTTAGGCCATTATCAACTTTTAGTTCAACCGCAGATAAGCAGCTCGAGGGGGTTAAGTTTTTTCAGACCGTGGAGTTTTCTGACGTAATTCAAAGACGTGTGACACGCATAATGGGATCGAACGGCAGCAATAGGCATGCATATCAAGATCGTCTGAATAGGTTCCATTGTAACCGGTAGTGATGACACAGAGTAGATTTTCAAAAAGGATGAATTTTTAGGTGCAGGATACTAATTTGCTTTCTATCTCGCGTACTGCTTGCCCTGGACTTTTTTAGCAATATGTTATATTCCGAAATAATATTTTAATGAAAGCCTGAGATATTATTGACCCTGATCTGAATCTAAGTCATTCCTGTAAGAAGAAGATGTGATATGGCCAATTTGGGGTTGCAATTAAA